TGTGCACGGATTAAAAACCAAGATCTAACTTTTGAAAAATAGGGAAAATGAAAGTGCGATTAAAATATTAATTATTTTTTGGAGGTACCTATCTATTTCATGGTAGTTCGTCTTTTATACTCTGCCAACCACACAAGGTTGTTAATCGTTAAGCTATGTATGTTAAGACTTGGCCTGTAAGTAAAGTATAATAAAAAAAAACTGGACTTGATTAAAATATTAATTATCTTTATTCGGTATTTATTGGTACTAGTGATGATCTTTTGATCGAAATTTTACTTTTTCTGTTCTTGTGTCAATTAATATAATTTTTCTTCTTCTTTTGAGATGGCAATTCACTCCTAATATGATACTACTATGCAAAGATGCAAAGTGAAATCCTTCCCTTCATGCTTCTATACATATTAAGGATTCTGCTACGCATGGTCCCTGCATCTATCTATTCCTAAGTTCTGGCTTATAATAATTTAGGTTCTATTGTTAGAGTCATTTTGTGTGTGTCTAACCAGGGCTGTAGCTAAGGGGACGGGCCATTATGGGGCAATGTCCTATCTTAAAATACCATTGCCCTACTTTAACGGTATGCCCTTGCTATATAATGTAATTACCGCTACCTAACCTGTAATTTACTGCTGCCCTATCTTAAATACAACACTGGCTATGGCCCTGTGTCAAACGCATGGTAGTATGAGCGCTGCGAAGTCCCTCACGAAATTAAAAGTCCGGTGTAATATTTATTTTATTAATTTATCCACACCCGTGCTTTTAAATAGCTATTAAAAATTCTGAAATAGTTAGCTTATTGCCAACATTAAAAAATCCAATGACATAATTAAAACAAAAACATTATAACACTCAAACACGTGTTTGTTATGTACCTATAACGGTTGTTTATAAATAAATTTCATAATAACACACCTTCGCTGTTTAATTAAAACCCTTCCCGCCAAGGGCTCGCTTATCAGACAGCCACAATTTTTACTGCTGTATGCGTGGTATTACGAATTAAAAAAAAAAGAACATTGTCATTCAGCGCGCTTCACTACCACAGCGCTGAAACTTTTCACGAATTGTAGAACGCATCATGGTTTCAGAATCTTTTATAGATGATTCTTATAATGGGTGTAGATAAGGTCTTGTATGCAACTGCTATAATTAGCTATTAAAACATTCTGTGATACTATTATCGCATAAACCCGCATTCACTTTTAATACCCCTTATTATAACAACAGTTGCATAAATAACTATTAAAGTATTTGTAATGCATTATTATATAGGTACAAACATTTCTGAACTCCTCCTAAAATAAACTTTTAATATGCATTATTCATCATCTCAATAAACAATGATGTGCTTAAAAAAAGGGAACGAAAGTTTCCCTTCACATATTAATTTATTAACAAATTGGTGTAGCATGCTGCTGATGCTGAATAACTAATGTCTTAAGAAATACATAGAAATTTCTTTGTATTTCATAATAATTCACTGTATGCTTGCCTAAAATAACTGAAACCTTGTCGCTTGCGGTTCGTCTGAATTCCAAGTTTTATCTACTTAAAAGTTAGTGTCCTTTGAGGTTGCACTTAAAATGTTTTGCTTGGAAACCGACTAAAGAGTATTTTGAAGACTGTATGAAGCAAAATTGAAGCTAAATCCAATGCTAAAAAAGAATTGTATCCTTATAATTATCATTTTCCGTGATATCACTTACGCTAATTCACAATCAATGTCCTTAAATGTAAATATAAACTTTATGGGCCATGAATTTTCTAAAAGCTTTCAAATGTAACTGCTGCCGAACAAAACGATCAAATAATTGAAAAGTCGTTAAATCACCTGAATTTATTAAATGGAAGATATGCTTTCTATAGTAATACATTGACACAAATATTAAGAACTGATAATGGTTGTACTAACTAATAGCTTTCCATGTGGTGTTAATTCAAGATTGATCGATGTCTTCGTGAAAACTGATACTTGTATGACCGATATATAAGCTGATGAATATCGTTTAGATAAAAAGTAATCTTCTGTACAATAACTATATTAAAGTTATACAGTAGACCCGCGGTAATCCGGACCCCGTTTAAACCAGCGTCCCTCATAATCCGACACGCTTATCACTGTTGGTTTGCACATAAAATCAATTGAAAAAGATCTTTAGATTTGTAATTTGTTGGATTACAAGGTACTCTTATTTCAAAAAATCCTGTCTATAGAGGGTGGTCTTAGGCACTACTAAGTAATCCGACAAATTCGATAATCCGACATCGCCCTGCTAAATGTTTGTCGGATTACCGCGGGTCTCCTGTAATTAAATCCACTTTTGTATCTTGAGTGTTTTATTAGAATTTCAGCAATTAAGTAACAACGATACTAGCTTAGACGAAATGCATAAGTTACTCCTACATATTTTTACAAGTTGGGCAGCAATTCTCTCTTAATCTGCATATTGTTCTCAGTGAAAAGTTTTGATGTACTAAGTTTCATTGGAATGCCGCGTAATAATATCTAAAATGTCATCTGAATTTGTAATAACTATGAACTTAATGTATTTTTTACGGGAATACTAACCTAAATACAAAGTACTTAGAGATAATCTTAAAGCCTTAATCCAAGTTACGAGATTGCTAAAGAAGTACAAATAAAGATTCCATGTGCAATATATGTCAATGACATCAATAGCTGCAACTGTATCGATTATTTTGTAAATGGCGTTTTAAATAAATAATGAGATAACGGCGATTCCCTGTGTCAGTTCAAGAAATACTTCTTAAAATACCGAATAATATAAACAAAAACAGAGTTCTATATAAGTATATTATATTATATATAGTTAAAGTTATAAGAAGTATAAGTTTGTGTAAGTAATCACTGATTATTTATACAAAATCTTTTAAAGTATTCACTATACGAATTTTACAGCATTGGAATATAATTAATGTAATGATAGTAGTTTGAGCTTTTCGATAGGGTTCCCTCTATCAGGCAGAATCTTGTTGCTCCGAAATTCATTTGGCATAACACCCTTAGTATAATCTTTTTTAAATAGCTATATTTAAAGCATATTATTTTTTTAAATATAACTTATTGTGTTTCCGAATGCAAGGAGGACGGGCGTTTTTGCCTAGAAACCAAAAACAACTTGCGATATATCATCAGAAAGGGCTTTTTTATGTACTTTAATTGTTATTATGGCCGGTGTGTCTCAAATCGCTGTATGACAATGGATATGACACAATCAAGCCAGCCTGCCAGAAAATAACTTAAAGCTTTTTATGTTTTTATTTATTTTTAAGCATTTAACTAGCTGTTTAAATCTAAAGAAAAGTTTACTAGAAAAAAATCCACGCGGACCAGGCAGCGGACGGGACTCGAAAGCTTTTTACTCTGGGACCATATCAGACTAAACTAGCCAAATCATATTGTGCTGAGCATTTGCACAATGACCTGTATATAATTGAAGTGAAAAAGAGATGATTTAATTGAAGATTTGCACCAGTATAATGTGCCTCAAAATGTATGGTCAATAAGTGACCGTATACAGTCTCTCAGGTATTTACGTAACCAAAATGGTTTGCAGGGATGTAATTGACATATATTGCACTTGTTTGACAGGGCGCCGGACAATAGGAAGCTGTGCCATTTAAACAATATTGTGTGGTATCTTGGTGAGGACAAGAGCCTTTTAATCCTTCAGCCGGAGCTTTAATAGATATTATAATTGAAATTGACGAAGATTGAATAGTAGTTTTGTTATCATATTGAATCGACTATCTGTTTCCATAACACGCTATCTGCTATTAAATTTTCATCAATTGATAAACATATATGAAGATATATTATAATATCTGAAATATGACATAGATATTGATTGATAATAATGATATAGATTTGACATGTTTCGCTAACATATGCAACTAGTACTGTAATATTGGACTGTAATAGCAGCAGGTGTTAAATAATAATAACGTTCAGAACCCTTAGTGTGCGAGTACAAGTTGCACTTAACTGTTTTTTTTGCTCTTTCACTATGGTAGTTTTACAAAATAAACTATAATTAATGGATGCTTAACATAATAATGTACACATATTTTTTCGAATGGAGTCTGGCTTTATTGCGTTATAACTTTGCCCACACCGCGTCTTGAGACTTCCCGCCATAACAATAGTTAAAGTGTTATAAAATATTTACAATGAAATGTTGAATGTTGTTATTGGTTCCTAGGCAGGCTTACGTATATTTTGGCCCGTTCTTCTTGTATTCTGCATAATTTCGTTAAGTATAATCGGTGTTTGTGTTCAGTGGGTTAGGTTAGGTTAGGTTGGTGACCTAAAATAAGCGCGAGACGATCGAGCGTGCTGACAATGAACTTTCAGCGATATAATTTTTTTTATGTATGCTAAATGAGTGCATGCCAAATTATTGACTGCGAAATAGAGTAAGCCATCCGCTAAATGCATAAAAATTATTATTTCAAACATTAAAAGTTCTGCGATACAAGGTGAGATCTATCAGAGTACAACCCCCATCCTCAAATAACCCCTGCGAATAAACATTTTATAAATAATGGAAATCATCATTGTTTAGAAAATAACTCTTAAACCTTTTCAGTTTAAAAATAAATATCGAATTTTATTGTATAATAAACATACAATGGCTCGTACCTATCTTTACAAAGTTGTTATGATCGGCAGGAAATACACACATCAAAAGTGTCTAGGGATCAAGCATTTTTATGCGGATTTCTTGAGATTGAGATGTGGCTTTGTAATAAATTTATGATTTTATAAATTTATATGGATCCTTTTTGGTGCATTTCATAATTTGAATCAGGAACTGTGAATCAAATTCGAGTAAAAGATGAAAATCAGCTGTCAATATTTTCCCTATAAAAACATACAACGCATTGAAGACATTATTAGTGCTACTGTTTCCCTACTACTGATTAAAACCAACGTTATTATGGAGCGGCGACGTCATTTAAGCAGGGAAGAAATGCTCAGAGCCGTGGGAATGATAGAAGCTGGTTCCCGGCAACGTACTGTGGCTTTAGCTCTGAATACAAGTCAGAGTGTTATCAGTCGACTTTGGACACGATACCGAAGCACTGGTACCGTGGCTGAGCGCCATGGAGGACGGTATCGCTGCACCACACGGAGACAAGACCGATACATTCAAATCTTAACTCGAAGAGCTCCAACAATAACCGCCATGATGTTAGCCGTGAGGCTTCATCACTCTTCAGGGAACTTAATTAGCGACCAAACAGTCAGAAACCGCTTGCATGAAGTGAACCTTCATTCCCGAAGACCGCTACGGGTACCACCTATAGCAATGCACAATCGTAGGATTCGATATCAATGGGCTCTTGAACACAGAAATTGGGCAGAAGAACAATGGCGTTTCGTGTGCTTTTCTGATGAGTCTCGTTTTGGTATGAGACCGGATACAAGACGTATACGACACTGGAGAACCCCTGGACGCCAACAGCGATTAAAATCCTGCCAGGAAGTCCATCCTTATAGTGGTGGAACCATCATGGTATGGGCGGGTATTTGGATCGGCGGAAGAACTGAGTTGATTTGGATCAGAGGCAACCTCAACGCTCAAATTTATGCTGAGACGATTGTATCAGACGTCATCGTTCCTCTACAAGTGCAAATCGGTCCCTTATTTCAGTTAATGCATGATAATGCACGACCGCACACCGCAAGAGTTGTAAGACAGACTCTCGCCGCAGCTAACATCAATGTCCTGCCCTGGCCTGCTCAGTCGCCAGACTTGAACCCGATTGAGCATGCATGGGATATGCTACAGAGAAGAGCTCTGCCGAATATGGAGGGTATCCAGTCGCAAGAAGACCTTTTTTTGTTGTTGCAACGAACATGGGCGGCCATTCCACAGCGTGATTTGGATGAACTCATTTTGAGTATGCCAAACCGATGTTCTTGTGTTGTTAGTGTTCGCGGTAGAAATACGGATTATTAATTGTTTAAGTTACCCAATAAAATTTTAGAGAAAACTGTTATTTCAGTCTTTTTTTCGAACTTTTGTGTTAGTGGTTCAAATGTCAAAAATCCCTTTATTAGGAAAATGGCAAATTTCTTTATTAATGCAAAGGTGACTTGGTTTATCGTTACTGTGACAAACGAAAACACTTTATTTGATGAATCCTTAAAGAAAATTTTAATTAATATCAATCAGGAGAAAAGTTATTGCAAAAATATATGTTGATCCCTAGACACTTTTGATGTGTGTAGTTTGCCACCAGGTTCCACGCATTGTGACAGTAAAGCGGAATAGATGTTCCTCTCTGCTAGCGTTTTATTAAAAAAGTGTTCATACATCGACGACCTTTGGCAAATACTCGTAGATCGGAAGATATTAGTTAGGACTAAAACTTTGTACCGAACCGGCGAAACAAACTCAAGAGAGGCTTTCTATCTCTTTCTTATGTTAAATTATGCAAACAAAAAGAACTAATAGTATCTGTTGCAGTGTGTGCTCGGGGTTGGGATTTTATCTCCTGTATAATGGCTTCCCAAGCTGGTGGTATATACCAACCATCTTCCCTATTGAAATTTGGATATTTTTTAATCTCAATAGCCTCGCGTATCATTCTAGGAACGAAACGTTGCTCAGTTACAAGGATCTGTGGTTTATCAAATCTAATGTAATGGTTTGGTCCCCCTAATGCATGCAATGAAACATAGGCGCGAAAATAAGTCTGCAGTGTGTGAACATGCCAATGAAGGTCTCCCAATTTTGGAACCGGTGGTAGTTTACGGTAGTTAGGGTCAAATAAATAAACTCAAAATTACAAAAAGAATTTTAAATAAAGTACTTTATTAACTAAATTAAGTAATAAATTCATACATAGACAATAAAAATTTTAAAAATCGAACAATGAAATAACCGAACGCTCAATAAAAAGTCTTTCGAAGGTAGCTCGACAAAATTAAATAAAATTTGATTCTGACGACGTAGCCTGTAAAGGCTACGAAACGTCAATAAATAAATAAAGTTTCGTGCATTAACCCGTAAAAAACTAGTTTTATATAATTAGGGATTTTAATTTTTTTATGACAATTTAAAATTCTTTCTAGAATTAAAAATATTTAACACAAACATCAATGTTAACTTCCATATGATAACATAGATGCTGAGTGAAGTGTTAATGACGAAGTTGAGGGCACATCACCAATGTTAATATTAATAAAGTTGGTTTCAGAAAGTGTAAACTCATTACGTGCATAAAGTCTATCGAATGTACCTTCCTTGTTTCCTTACTGGTAGAGACCTGATGGAATAATGCTCATAACAACACACATAACATTCCTGAGTGCTGCACGTCCTCTATCAACTTACAACCTGTCCGTCGTGATATGGTTAAAACAATGAATGCTGAGAACGCGTCATGGCTTTTCTTCATTGCCACAACGCGTTGAGATCGAATAGCATGTCAGCCACGACACGAATTTCGCTATTTGGTCTTTCTGTGATTGCCACAACGCGTCGTGCGCGTTTTCATTAGAGCCATAACACGGATTTCGCGATGTGGATGTTTTACTGTGACCACAACGCGTTGCGAGCTATTTTTCCGCTCACTGAGCGTTTTCGATCTTTGAGCGTAACATATACAATTATGTATAATATATTTATTTAAAAAAAAAATATACCTAACATTTTTTATTACTATCTTTATTAAGTTCTGCTATTTTCCTCGAAATGCAATGATTTCGAGGAAAGTAGCAGAACTTATTATATTTTTTATTTTCAGGCAGCAGGCCCCGCATGCACCGAATTAGAAATAATCATGCTTGACTGGATGGGTGCGTAAAAATGCATATCAGTGTGTATTTACAAACTTTAGGTATAAATACAAAATAATATGTATTATATAAAATAAAAATGTCTCCGAATTCTTTTTCCAAAAAGTTGATGGTATGACAGAAAAGAATTCCGCTCTAACCATCTTCACATTACCGGCCTGGACCCAATCCCCTACCCCGCAGAGCCCTAGAACCCTGCTCACCAACAGAAACTCAACACCGCCAAAAGGTAGTGCTGTTCTGCAGAGGTCTTCAGTACTTGGTTGTGGTTACTTCCCCACACTGGTGCTACAATTTAAGCTAAAAAACCACAACTAAGATCTACTAACTCTTTAATTTTTTAATACTTAACAATATTTATCTTCATTTTTTTTTCAAGACTATAAAGTCAGGAATATTAACTTAAGACTTGTTTTATAGGGAAGGCGATTGGATTACCACCGGCATTTTTAGCACTTGAGGAAGGAAGTAAAGGAGGTGGTGTGATAGAGGTGGGTGTTAAATAGCTGTAACAAGTGTTGTCTTCTAGGCTTGCTCACGTGTGAGAACGAACAGTAAATATATGTATATGTAGTTAAGCGCAGAAATGGAAATATTGGGACGGAGAAAATATTAGTTAAATGTATGCGAAGCATCTCTCCTCTAACTTATGTTGGGACAAAAAAAGCAAGACCAGCCAATCTCGAGCATGTTTTATAGTTAGTACTAACAATAAGGCAAAGGAAAAAAGGTTTTAATTAGTTTAAAGTTCACTGAAAAATTTATCAAAGATTAAGGTAGTTTCAAAGCAGTTTCCTGAGTTAACGATGCGATACGATGACTGAGCTATTAAAGTTCCTGCTTGGGCCTTAGCTTCTCCATTTATACAATGCGATACTTACATTTCTGAGGAACTGACATAATAGGTTTAAAATGTTGGGTTTAATGGCAGGGTTCAGCAAGCGAGTGCGTGTTGGTATCGATGCTGGCGGCCCGTGCAAACGGCATCAAGCACTTAAAGCACCAGTTCCCCACGGTGGACGAGGGTCTACTTCTGTCAAAACTCATTGCATATTGTTCCAAAGAGGCGCATTCGTGCGTTGAGAAGGCAGCAATGATCTGCTTCGTGAAACTGCGCATCCTACAGCCAGATGAAAATGGCTCACTAAGAGGGGAGACCTTAAAAGAAGTAAGTATACTTTTGAAGTTCATTGTACGTACATGCTCGTATAAGTTGAAAGTGAAAAATCCATTTTTTTTATACTTATTTACTATATTTTTGTTCCATTTTATGTTAACTAGCATTACTATGGTTTTATTATTGTAAACGAAGAAATAATTCCATCTGTAAGCAGTTAAACAAAGATATTAACTGTCATTGAGTCAATTTCACCATAGTTATAAACTTTCTACCCATATTTTAGACCCTAAACATAAAATAAAAAGTAGGCGTGACTTATGCACTTTGTGCCTAACCGAAGATTTTTTAGCCATGGTGTTTCATCACTCATCTTGATAATAGTTAATTGTCGAATGAGTGCAGTAGTGACTTTATATTTAAAGATAATCTCATTTTTCTACCACCTCATAATAACAACTTTCAATCCCAATTTTGCTCTGAACAGGTGCCGTTTCCAAAAGATATCCTATCCGTAATACTTTTCTATACGGTAAAACTATATGTACTAAGATTGAGTTTATAGGATCTACATTGATGAGTCAGTCATGTTAAAAACGGTTTTCCTTCCTCTATATATTAAATTACAGATAAAGAGATCACTTGGCCCATTCTCCACCTATTTGAATTGAGAGCAGACGTCACTCAAGCAAGATTCTACCTCAGCATTAATTACTACGTCTGGCGTCTTAAAAACGCTGGTGTTTACAGAACGCAAAAAGAGGTTTTTGTATTCTGTACTGGTATTCAAACAGCAGGTTGCGTTTATTGAAGTTCATTATTTAGGAATTTAATTTTCAGCGTTCTTACGCTATTTACAAACCAATTAATTAATTCTGAAACAAGTTTCACCCACAACACTTATACATATATTTAGAAAAAACCGTGATTTTGTAGTAATGATCGTTTTATTTCAGTAGTTAGGTAGTTATTACTTTGTGTAAATAATTTTTAGGGTTTATGAAATGTAAAAGAAAATAGGTGTTTAGCATATCGAATCAATATTGGTTATAATTTTATCACAAAAATCATTAAAAACCGGTCAAGTGTGAGCCAGACCCGCAACGAGGCACACTATACATCGGACTATCGGACAGATATATTGGGGCATTTGAGGCACACAATTTTATTTATGCTATTCCTTTAATTAGAGTTGAATTAAAGAGGTTTTTAAGAAATTAACCCCTTTTATATTCCTTTAACCCGTAGCTGTTTGAATATTTTAATTGGGATGTCAATTGAGAGCCGCGTATAGTGATGTACAGTGTTAAGTATTTAATTCTTACTTTTTCAGGTTACAGATCTTAGTGAGTAATTTAATATCTGATGAAGAAACTAATTAGGTACTAACTAAATTTACGACCATAAAAAAGGAAGTGAAAGATGCTGTAAGACTGACCGATCACTGCAGTTTAGTCTATCTTATAATAAAGTTACTGCTAATTATCTATCACGCTGTGATATTGTGTAGTGTGAATCAATAGGAGCTCTACAAAATAAGAATATGTATTTATCTATTTAAACTTAATTCGTTCCAACATTTTAGTAAAATGAATATTCCGAAAAAGTCGAAAACTTAGATTGAATTTTCGATTAAAATCTCGATAGCTGTTATTTAGTTCATTCGTTTCAAACTAGTGTGAAGTCGGGGCAGGTCGCTAGTAACTCAGTCCTTAGTATCTTTTACTTGTTGAGTGGGCAGCACAACACTAGCCGCAGATGAGGCGCTATGTATGTCGCGGCCAGGCTGGCTGCGTCGCGACGTTTAATGACTCGCCTTGGCTGGATGCCGGAAATACGTGGCGGGCCGGGCGGTAATAGCGTCGCATTGTGTGCCACTTTCTATAGCGCAAATATTGAAATTTCACGATACGACCGACGCGCTTATGAAAGATCGCTTTAATTGAGATATTTATTATCACTCTATTATAGGAATTAGTGAGCGGTTTTGTTGATTTTGTTCTTCACTTAAGTTTCAATTGAAATATTGAGTTGTTCAAATTGAAAGTCATCTTTAATTAAACCTGATACTTAATGCTAAAATAGAAAAAAAAAATCCAGTCATCTGCATAGAAAAAGGAAGGAAGGAAGACAAGCGTTATCATATTTTTTTTCTTCTTTCAGGCCATGGAAGAGGATGAGGAAGCTGGCCACGTACCTTTTTTTGTCTCCATAACATTGGGGACTACGTCCTGTTGTTCTTTCGACAATCTGCCTGAAATTGGACCAGTGGTGCGCAAGTTCCCTTGTGTGTGGCTTCATGTGGATGCAGCGTATGCTGGCAGTGCGTTTCTTTGTCCAGAACACAAGCACCACTTAGCTGGAGTAGAATACGCAGATTCCTTCAACACAAACCCCAACAAACTCATGTTAACTAGTTTTGACTGTTCCCTCCTGTGGGTGAATAATCGATATTTGTTGACATCGGCCTTAGTAGTGGATCCCCTGTATCTGCAACATTGCTACGATCACACTGCCATAGACTATCGTCATTGGGGCGTGCCACTCAGTCGCCGCTTCAGATCGCTCAAGCTTTGGTTCATGCTGAGGAGTTACGGCATCAGCGGATTACAGAAATATGTGAGGCGGCATTGCGAATTAGCGAAATATTTTGAAAAACTCGTTAAAAAGGACGACCGTTTCGAAGTATGCAATCAAGTAAAGGTGAGTTTTAATCCATTGTCTTCTCAATCCTAATTGTAATAGGTACCATTCCTAGTTCCTGTGATTTTACTTTTAAAAGTAATTACGAATGTCTGTTGCTGTTGCTTAAAAACATCAGTGACATTTTATCATCGCATAACCCTCAAAACAATGACTTCCTTACTATTATTACTATCATTATACTATTATTATACTCTTTATTGCATCATACAGTTTAAAACATATAGTCAAATACATAGTAAGCAAAGGTGGGCTTATCTCTAAAAGAGATCTCTTCCAGCCAACCTAGGTGGTGTCGGAGATTCAAAACTTAGCGGGAAACAGAAAGTGCAATAAAAATTAAACTAAAAATAATTTATTACTACTGTTATAGGAAATAGACTTAATAAATAATAGTTGTATATATATATATATATATACACTATACACATTATACAATACATATAACTACATAAATAAACTTGCATAAATATACATAGATAAATACAATACCTATCTAAATATACATAACATACATATAAGCCTGATAAATAAATACTAATAAGAAACAAGATACTTCGTGAGAATGATTCATTAAGTTTGAGATTTCTGTTTGAGAAAATGATCTTTGACTTTAGACTTAAACGAGAAGATGGTCGGAGATTCCTGAATATTGGACGGAAGTTTATTCCACAGCTGTGCAGCCCTAAAAGAAAAGGAATTTAAATAGGAGATTGTATTACTTTTAGGAAGCTCAAGGGTCTTAGTAATGCAAGGTCGTCTAGAGCGTGAAGGAGGGGGAAGAAACTTAAATCGGGAACGCAGGTATACTGGGGAGTTAGGATCTTTGAGAATCTTAAATAAGAAGACAAGCATATGCAAATCTCGCCGAAGACGAATAGGGAGCCATTGAAGTAGAGAGCGATAAGCTGACACATGATCATCTTCCGCAGACCAAATATAAATCGTATGGCTAAATTTTGGAGTCGTTCTAATTTATTGAGTAGCTCTTCATTTGCATCAAGATAACAGACATCGGCGTAGTCGAGAATTGGAAGAAGGAGTGATTGTGCTAACATAATTTTGGTTTTAAATGGTAAATAGTATTGGAGTCGCTTGAGAGAGTGGAAAGAGTAATGGATACGTTTACTAACTTCACCAATATGCGGGGACCATGCCATGTTACAGTCCATAGTCAAACCAAGGTTTTTAACTTTATCAGTGTATGGTATTGGAATATTGTTGTAGAGGAGTGGAGGAACAATACTCCAATCCAGTCTACTCCTGAGCCGGCTGCTACCCACAATCATAGCCTGACATTTGCTTGGATTTATTGCCAGACCAAACGAAGTTGCCCAGCTTAAAATGGAGACCAGATCACGATTTAACAAGGCAATAGCATCGCAAACTGCACCTGTTGGAAAGTGTTGGTAGATCTGAAGATCATCAGCATACAAGTGAAAAGGAGAAGAGATAATAGAAGCGATCTTATTAATGAAGAAGGAGAAGAGTAAAGGAGAGAGAACTCCACCTTGCGGTACACCTGCCAATACACGTACCCAGTCAGAGCACGAGTCATTATAGACCACTCGTTGGAAACGGTCAAAAAGGTAACTCCGAAACCATTCTACAACAGGAGGAGAAACATTACTGTGTGTGCTTTAAAGTTTTTGAAGTGAAAACTGAAACTGGAAAAAGAGTATTTTACACAAGATAGGTATCCGTAATTTTATCGTTTACTACAAGAGGCAGTCAAATGGTAACGGTGTTGGAGTCGACACCAAATGATCGGTGGTTCGATCCTGAGCTCGGTTATTTTTTAAATTGTTTTAATCGTTTTTTTTATTAGGCTATTATTTATTTTTCAAAACAATTTAAGTATAGAATATTTAAATTTGCCCAGTATTTTACAATACCTGAATAGTTAAGTACCAATTAAACGTTTGGTAGGTGTCTAAGTTGTTAATTAATAAGAGCTTAGTTTTTATCAATAACCCTTACCTTTTAATGTTTGCAATTTTTTTACAGTAATTTGTTATAAATAAATATTTCGAAAGAAAACTTAGATAAGAAATACATACATAAAAATTGCTGTAACAAATAAAACTTTTACGTGTTCACATTTTTGGTATTTTTTAATTAAAACGCAAATAAAACTATGATCTTTTTACATCACTGACACGAGTAAATAAATTTTAAGGAACAAATGGATATATTACAGTTTAATATTAAATAATAAGAAAAGAGTGTTTTAAACAAAAAAAATCTAAAATCATTTCAGTTGAAACGTCCATGACACGGTAATATTATCTATATAGATAACATAATGTAAGTTCAGAGAGCACTGCAAATCTAAATGAGATAGAATTTTTGAAATCGGTCCAGTAGTTTCGATTCAATAGACTTTACCTGTTATCTAGTATACGAAATGTAATCTGATTTTAATCACCTATTCGATACAAAAAACAAACAATCAAATCTTTCCTCTATAAAATATTAGTATAGATATAGACAACTAGTTTTAACAACCTAGAGGAGACTAATCGAAAAAATCCCGAATAGGATATCGGAAACCAGTTACTGTAATTTGGAACGATCCTGCGCTTAAAACTTTTATTGTCAAAGATAGATATAATATTTTATATTAATACCCAAAAGGATAGGACAGAAATTAAATGACAAAAAAGAATACTTTTAATTTAAGAGCCCTTTCACATTTTTTGCAAAAACCGTAATTTTTGAGCGCATCGTTTACCCCCTTAGAAAAGATTTTGACTATTTCCAATAGAAGTAAACAGTAGATTTATTCTTCCTTTTGTAAGTTAATGTAGAATAATTGCAAATACTGTTTTCCTTTTTTTGTATTGATCGTTCTACTGCAGCTTGTTTATGGAAAAAACGATAATATGCACAACTTCAAATGCCTCAATCTCTCAATAATGTTCAATAAATTACATCAAATTAATTAGTACGACATCAGAAATATGTTGTTGTAACATAATGTTTTAGAATTTAGATTTTCCATCTCATTAATTATCAAAAAGAACATCTAACCTCCGTGAGTTTTCCCAAAAAATAATGGAGGTTTACATCGTATTTTGATATTGAATTAAATAGAATTACTAACTAATAACTTTCATAAAACTAATCTACCATCATTGAACAACTGAAATATGTATATATTTTTATAATTAGTTTATTAATAATTATATTATAAGACTCGAAGCATCACCCGTAAAATGCAATATATACTAGTGCAAATCTACCTACGCGCCGATCAGTACGGCAGCGGCGCAATTTTCTAAAAAAGCTCTTAAATTGTTATTAGAGTGCTACGGCTCAAATACGAACTTGCTACGACACTTTTTTTATTGTATAACTACCATGTCCAACGATTTATTATTTGTGTAGACTTTAAAAAGAGTTGTAATTTTTGAAATAACATCTAAATCCTTAGTAGCCTTCACAGGTCTGGAAAGACAATTTGATACTAAGACTACGACGAAAATGCTACGAAATTCTTTTCAGCTCTTTCCACTTTATTTGCAATTATTAAAATGTTTATTTTAAATAGTAGATAACATTATATTTTCGTCCAAAATGTTTAATTTTATAATTTATGTCATATACTATAGATAGATAGATAGATAGATAACACTTTATTGTGCACACCATATTAAATATTACACACTAGGACAAAACTTAAATAGTGAACAATTGGCGGTCTTATCGCTATATAGCAATTTCTGCCAGACAACCATAGGATGGAGAGATGAAATTTAATACAAGAGGGGGTGTGCTCATATAACAAATAAAAATAATTACAATAAAAGATTCAGGATTAAACATACTCATAAATATCTACTATGCAAGTATACAAATATTAAATGAATGAGTAGAGAGACATAAACATACATACACACATACAGTTGGAACAACACAAACAACTACTTTGAAAGGAAAAAATCTTTAATCTGCTTTTTAAATAAACCAATCGTCTGGGCACGTCTGATGTTAACGGGGAGAGAGTTCCAGAGGCGCACAGCTTGAACACAAAAAGAATATTTATAAAAGGTAGTATTATGTGATGGAGTTTTAAGGCTCAAATTCTCTGATGAGCGTAGAGACTGAGAGTGGGAGCAGTGGAGAAAACTGAAAAGCTCTTTAAGATAATTGGGATAAGAGGGATTAAACAACACATTGTAAAGAAGGGAAAGTATATGAGTATCCCGGCGACGACGAATTGGAAGCCACTTGAGTTGAGAACGAAACTGGGAAACATGATCATATTTTCTTAAACCAAATATGAACCTGATGCAGAAGTTTTGAAGACGCTCAAGTTTATTTAGCTTGTCCTCGGTAAGATCTAGATAGCAGGCGTCAGCATAGTCAAGGACTGGAAGCAATAGAGATTGAGATAGCATAATTTTAGTGGCAGTGGGTAAAAAGTTACGTAGTCTTCTTAACGAACCAGCAGACGCATACAGTTTTCGACTTACAGCTTGCAGCTGTGGCTCCCAGCTCAATGAACTATCCATTATCACTCCGAGATTCTTTACCGTTGAACTATAAGGTATGTCAGTTCCTTCGAAACTAACTTTAGGAAGATTAGTCCAGGTAATTTGAGATAATAGTCTAGAGCTACCGACTATCATGACCTGAGTTTTGATAGGATTAACATTAAGGCCAAAAGCTTTACTCCACTCCGCAATTCGACACAGATCAACATTAGTTTTAAAAACTGCTTCCTCAATTTTTTCAAGTGGCGCCTGGCAATATATCTGTAAATCGTCTGCATAGAGGTGGTAGGAAGAAGATAAGTTAAGAGAAATTGAATTAATAAATATTGCGAAAAGAAGAGGAGATAATACGCCGCCTTGTGGAACGCCAGCAGACGTCTCGCACCATGACGAGAATTTGTCATCAAGGCGAACACGCTGCCTACGTCCATACAGATAACTGTAAAACCAGTCAATTACCGTTGGAGATATGTTAAGAGAGCGTAATACGGCTATAAGAAC